CAAACTATAATGTATTGAATATGTTTCCCTTCATATAATTTAGATTTATCTTTTTTAATATTTAATATAGACTTTATTCTTGAATTCCAGCTTGGTTAATATCTTTCCACTCGTGTGATTTATATTTTCTTTGCTTTTACTTGGTTTCTTTTACATTGTTGTCGAATAGTTGATGTATCTATACTCTAGCCATCTTTCATATTTTTTAATTCATCACCTTTTAAACCGTAAAAATGTCTAGAGAGTTTTGCTAAGTCCTATAAAAGAACGCATGTTATTGCATTCTACTTTTACTGGTGAATTTTACATGACATTTAAAAAAATACCGAAAATTAACCGAACCATACCGATACCAAAGTGAAACCGACATGATTGGGACGGTTTCGAAAATTCTAATTTTTGTTATGCATAATAGAATAACCGAAAAATTGGTATGGTACAAATTTTATAAAATAACCGGCCAAACCGAACCATTGACACCCCTATCAGCCGGTCGTTTCATGAGTTATAGCCCCGTTTTCCCCATTTCTGTTTCTTTATGTGTTGTTCAGCTGTATTTCATCGTATCGTGTTGGTTGATTTGGCTTCGGAGTGGTCGTGGAGTGGAATGAGACACTTAGTCTCTTATTTAGCAGCTTAAGTGGGAAAAGTCAACTGGATGTTGACTTATGTGTAGAAGATCTCAGATGTGAATTCTAGTGGTTCGGATAGCTCCGGTTGGTGATTTTGGACTTAGGAGCGTGATCGGAATGTAATTTGGAGGTCCGTGGTAGATTTAGGCTTGAATTAGCGAAATTGGAAATTTGGCGTTTTCCGGTCGGCAGTGGAAATCTTTATCGGGGTCCGAATGGAATTTCAAAAATTGAGTAGGTCATTAGTGTCATTTGTGACGTGTGTGCAAAATTTCAGGTCATTAGGACGAGGTTTGATGGGTTTTGGCATCGTTTGCGGAATTCGGAAGTTTAAGAGTTCCTAGGCTTGAATCCAAGGGTGATTTGGTGTTTCGATGTGGTTTGGAGTGTTCCGAAGGTATGAATAGTGGTATATGACTTTTTGGTACTTTTGGTTGAGGTCCCGAGGGCCTCGGGATGAATTCGGATGGTTAACGGAAAGATTGGAACTTGGTTTGAGCAGTTGAAGCTGCTGCTTCTGTCATTTCCGCACCTACGGATTCGGGACCGCAGGTGCGAGGTCGTAGATGCGTGAGGAAGGCCGCAGATGCGGTTTTGGACCAGTTGAAGCTTGACCGCAGGTGCGGGTGTGTGGCCGCAGATGCGGAAGTTTGCGGGTAAGTGGAATCCGCAGGTGCGCTT